TATATCATTGAAAAGCTTGAAAAAAATCCAGTTCAATAAAAAAATAAAATATAGGTGGTTCCATTTAAAAAAACCTAAGTTGTGTTTATAACTCAAAAACCGTGATGACTAGAAAAATTCTACGTGCACCATTGGATTCTCCGTGAAAAAATCTATTAGAACCCGTTTTTACTTTTTTACTAAGTTTCCGGATAGCCGAGATACGGGGGGTGTCTGAAAATCGTAAATTTTGAAATACTCCCTGTATATCAAAAACGAAGAGGTCTATGAAAATTTGGTTTGAGGCATTATAAGTTTCACAAAAAAGTAGCTCAGGTTCGCGAAAACCGCAACTTTCTATCTTTCATAATAACTGAGATATCCTGCAAACCCATCGAAATTTGGACACCCTGTACGTCCACCATGTGTAATAGCACCCCATACCATAATGCTCGGTTGTCGGTGGATAGGGCATTCTTGCGCGCACTGCTCGTGTAGACGATCACCACGTCTCCGACGAACTAAAATTCGCGCGTCACCGGTGCTCAATTCGAATCTTGATTCGTCGGAAAACAAAATGTCCCTCTATTCGGCAACCCACTAATGCTTAGCGTTGACCCACTCGTGACGTATTCTGCGGTGCTCGGGTGTTACTGGAATCCGCTGTATCGCACTACGCGCGCGCAGTCCACTATCTACCAAACGCCGCCATACAGTTCGCGTAGTGAGTGAGCCATCCCCTGCCGGTGGTCAAACAGCTCCAAGTTGTCTTGAGGAGGACGCACACGACGCTAAAGCGCTGAGCACAAGAGTTCAATCCTCGTGTGCTGGGGTCGCGCAGGGCCGTCCCGGCCGCGGCTGTAGGTACCTATGTCCTACCTCAGACCATTCTCGCCATGCCCGTTGCACTGCCGATAACGACCGCTCGAGACGACGCGCAATTTCACGGAACGATACACCCTCAATGTACATACCCACAAACATTCCTCGCCCAAACTCGCTTAAGTAACGCGATCGCTCATCCATTGCGCACAGACTACGATAACAATGTGGTCCCTCACACCACACTAAAAACGACCGGTATTTTCCATCCACTTCGGTCTCCATAGCGACGGAATGTTCCACTTGGAAGGGCGGCTCAGTCAACAATGCCGCGACGGAACAACTCGAAACTCGCTGAATAAACTCGTCTACAGTAAAGCTTTGTGCTCCGCAAATATTATGGATTTATCTTCACCCGTTCAGATTATATAGGGTGTGCTCGTGAATTATTTGCAACAGTGTAGTTCACATGAGTTTCTTCGTTCATTCTGAGAGAATTATGCCAGTCACGTGGATATATCTTCAATTCACTCAGTAAATTAATACGGGAGTAGGTTTTTCTTTTCAATAACCACTCTTTACACCATACGTGATATACGTTTCTTCTTCCGCGTTTTCTTCTTATGGACAAGGCAAAAAGCAGCCAGTGCGAGCGCATCGTGTGATGTCGAATTGAAATTTTACATGCTTGTACAAAAAGATTAATCATGCATGCTTATCAAGTTTGCAGTTACCTGTGTCGCCACCTTTATAATATACAGTGCGTTTCAAAAGTAATTTAATTTATGAAAAGATCGCTAAACGGGTCTAAAGATTTAAATTTTTTGGTGTATATTTTAAATTTTTTCCGCCATTTTTAAACGAATTATGCGTCATCGAAGTTTTGTTTAAATGGAACACCCCATTTTTTATATCGGAATTTGAAAGAGATTTTTTTTCTGAATTATGTGCAATAAATATTAATATCGGTTACATAAGAAAATTTTCGAGAAAAATTAATTTAAAGTTTTATTATGTCTCATTCATTTGATATACAAAATAGCAGTAGCAGTGCGTAACCATGGCAACCAATTGTTTTGATTTGACATTTTCAAAATTCAATTTGAATTGAATTATTTATTTAAATTAATTATTATTACTATTGTACTTGAGATACAAAAGTAGCAATAGCTTGTTGCATCAAACGCATTAAAAAAAACGCAAACAGAAAATAAGATATCAAAAATTAAACATTTTTTTAAAGTTTAAGTTTACAAAAATAACATGAACGATAGAAAACAATAATCATCATTAATTCAAATGTTCAAATTGCTGCCCGTTGGCGGCAAGGCAATATCTTAATCGAGAGACAAATGCTTCTTGAACGTTTTGAATCATATCCGGGCCGATTAATTGAATTTCTTCAATTTTTTGCTTCAGATCTTCTAGGTTATCAGGCTTATTAAAATAAACTTTAGATTTTAAATAACCCCAAAGAAAATAATCTAAAGGGCCATTCAAATTTTTGGTTGAGGTATTGTCGTACAACTTGAGCATAATGAGGAGGCGCGCCATCTTGCTGTAGCCAAATTCTGGGATGTAGTGAATTTGGATCTTCTGCATTTGGAAAAATTGCAAGTAAACTTGGAATTAATTCTAATTGAAGGCTGCCTACTGTTCCGTTATTGAAATACGGTCCAATAATTCTGTTCTCCACTATTCCAGTCCACACATTCACCTTTTGGGGATACTGTGTACTTGCCTCGGCTTATTGCTTCGATTGGCCTCGGCCCAATAACGGCACTTTTGCTTATGGACGGTGCCATTTAAACAAAATATTGCTTCATCGGAGAATAGAATGTTTTTAATAAATTCCGGATTTGCGTAGCATAGTTCCGTCATTGTTTCGCAGAATTGCAAGCGTCGATCAAAATCGTCATCGGAAAGCTCATGCACCAAGTGTACTTTGTAGGGGTGATATTATTTTTTCTTAAGAAATCTTGATATTGTGCTTCTAGATGTATTGAAATTTGCAGCAATATTGGAGATGTTTGAATGCGGATTTTCCTCTACACTTAACAGGACATCCAACTGACGATCTTCATTTAAGGCCAATGGACGTCCGGTCTTAGGTTTATCTCGTACATGACCAAGTTCGCGAAATTTACTCTCAATTCGACTTATTGTCGATAGTGATATTGGAGTACGGTTCGGATGTTTTTCGTTAAACAACGCACGGACTTCGTTATATGTTCGGACTCTATTTCCAAAACCAATCATCATAAGAATCTCGATCCTTTCAGTTTCAGTAAGCGTCATTATTAATTTCTTACTTATCGAACAGTCAATAAATAAAAAATAACCAATAATAGATAAACAATAAGATCAAATAACAACAAAAAAGTAACAACGAATAGCGATAAATAGCAACAAATACCAACAAATAGCAACAAATAACAACGAATAACAATGAATAACAACAATTAACACAAGAAACTCCACAATACTAGTCAAAATAATCTCATTAACGCACAATACACTGTTTCAAATCGAATTTTGACACTTGGAAAAATTAAATCAAAACATTTGGTTGCCATGGTTACGCACGGCTACTACTATTTTTTATATCAAATGAATGGGAAATAATGAAACTTTAAATTAATTTTTCTCGAAAATTTTCTTATGTAACCGATATTAATACTTATTGTACCGGGTGGGCCACTAAGAAAGGACGCCGGCTATATCTCAGAAACTGTTGATCGCACAGTTTTCAGACAAAAAATTCTTATACAAAGTGACCCATAGAAACTGCTGGAAATTATTTTCAAGTTTGTAAAACTACCGCTAGGGGGCGTAATGCCAACGACAAAATTTAAAATGTAGTTTTTCGTAAAATTTTGATAATAAACTTCATTCGTCTATAACATTTTTAGAATCTTTAGATAATTTCTGACAACTTTCGTTAGTCAATTTTTTTGCTTACTGCTTAAATAAGTGAGGACATCGTACCTTTAAATAAATGAGGTACGGGGTGTTACATTTACTATTATAAAAGTAGCCCTAACTTTGGAATTGTTCATCCGAATACATCAAAATTGGTCTTGTTGGAAAGAGGAGTAATTTTTGTATTCGATGACATCCGAAATTAGCCGATTTACTTTCTAAGTCAAACGCTAGGTAGCGTAATTTGTCAGTTCTATTTATTTTTACAATTTTCTTGAAAAATTCAAATGGAAACGTATATTTTTGACAAGGTATATGAAAAGAGCGTTAAGAAGTACGTCATACAGTGAAAACCGCAATATCGTACGTGTTTTAGTCTTAGAGATATTCAAAAAAAGAGGGATAAATTAAAACGTAACTACGTTTGGGTAATTATTTAATATCATAGTAAGCTTTCAAAGAACAACTATCTACAACAAGTTATAACAATAATAACGTTTTATATGTAAAACTTACAAGCAAACAATTTTACTACTTTTTTTGTTCACTTATATAATACGTCGAAGGGTGACCTGAGTAGGTAATATCAAAATATTCTCATTGATCTTAGCGGGCCATGATAAAACAAAATCCGATTGTTTAATTTTATGGCGTTAAGTCAAATTGTTGTTACTGTCATTTAGTGTTTTCTCTGTCGTGTGAGTAACTTAATTTAGCTATTTTAAAAATGCCGACCAATGAGGTAGCGTATGATATGCTTGCGAGTTACTTTGAATGCATGCAGAATGCAACTATTGCTGCAAGACATTACGCAGTTCGTTATCCACAACGGCGGCATTATAACACAAAGGTTTTCATCCGTATAGCCCATCAGTTAAGGACTACAAGAAGTATTCATCATCCTATATATCGTAGAACACGTAGAAGTCGCACTGAAGAAAACGTAATAAATATTTTAGCGTATGTGGAATTCAATCCACTGCTTTCAAGGCTACTGTGGACTGACGAGGCCACATTCAATAGTGATGGTGGTGTAAACCTGCATAATATGCATTAAGGGTCGCGTAACAACCCTCATTGGATGCGAGAAATACAGCATCAAGGCCGGTAGAGCGTAAACGTTTGGTGCGGGATTTTAGGAGGACGCATTATTGGTCCTTACATATTTAACAATAGACTAAATGGTGCAACGTACCTCAATTTTTTAAGAAATGAACTGTCAATTCTTTTGGAAGATGTGCCTTTAGCTATTCGCAGAGACATGTTTTTTCAGCAAGATGGGTGTCGCACATTTCTCTGCAAATGTGCGACAATTTTTGAACGAAACTTTTTCTAATAAGTGGATAGGCAGAGGAAGTTTATATCCTTGGCCAGCGAGGTTACTTAGCAGTTTTTAAACTTTACAAGTCTGTAGTACCTATGATTCTGTGATACATCTAACTAATAATTTTTGTTCTCTAGATCGCTCGATTTAACATGTTTAGATTTTTATTTGTGGGGGCGAATAAAAGACCTCGTCTTTACAACCAGGCCTACGACGCGAGAAGACATGATCGAACGGATAGGAAATGTTATCCGCAATATTTCATTACCGGAAATAGAGGCTGCCGTCTTATCTACGCACCAGCGCCTACAACAGTGCATTGCTGCTGATGGCAGACAATTTGAACATTTAAGACATCACTGATTTCTTTAAAGATAATTGGTTAAAGTTGTTCTTTGAAAGCTTATTATGATATTAAATAATCACCCAAACGTAGTTACGTTTTAATTTATCCTTCTTTTTTTGAATATCTGTAAGACTAAAACACGTACGATATTGCGGTTTTCACTGTATAACGTACTTTTTAACGCTCTTTTCACATACCTTGTCAAAAATATACGTTTCCATTTGAATTTTTCAAGAAAATTGTAAAAATAAATAGAACTGACAAATTACGCCACCTAGCGTTTGACTTAGAAAGTAAATCGCCTAATTTCGGATGTCATCGAATACAAAAATTCCTCCTCTTTCCAACAAGACCAATTTTGATGTATTCGGATGAACAATTCCAAAGTTAGGGCTACTTTTATAATAGTAAATGTAACACCCCGTACCTCATTTATTTAAACGGTAAGCAAGAAAAAATGACTAACGAAAGTTGTCAGAAATTATCTAAAGATTCTAAAAATGTTATAGCCGAATAAAGTTTATTATCAAAATTTTACGAAAAACTACATTTTAAATTTTGTCGTTGGCATTACGCCCCCTAGCGGTAGTTTTACAAACTTGAAAATAATTTCCAGCAGTTTCTATGGGTCACTTTGTATAAGAATTTTTTTGTCTGAAAACTGTGCGATCAACAGTTTTTGAGATATAGCCGGCGTCCTTTCTTAGTGGCCCACCCGGTACATAATTCAGAAAAAAATTCTCTTTCAAATTCCGATATAAAAAATGGGGTGTTCCATTTAAAAAAAACTTCGATGACGAAAAAATTTAAATCTTTAGACCCGTTTCAGCGATTTTTTCATAAATTGTTTATAATAATTTTATCGAATTTATCCGTTACTTTTGAAACGCACTGTATATTTCGCCCCGATTTCCAACCCTTATAACTCGCCCCAGGGGCTTCATTAGCACGTATAAAAAAATACGTAAACCTTATTTTTTGCCATACTATCGCTGTACCAAATTTCAACAAAATCGGTGAGGGACAGTTTTGATACTTCCCTTGTTAGTCCCTTTCTGAAATAAACGATTCATTTATTTTAAATAAGGTGAAATAAATCGTATTGAATATTTTTTTTTTTGCAGAAGAACAAGTCCTTCATTTAATTCAAAACCATCATGTTTATTTATTAAGATCAGGAAGAATAAATATGTGTGGTTTAAATGCTTCAAACGTGGAATATGTCGCAAAAGCTATACATGATGCTGTTACTGCTTATCCAAGGCAAAAACTCTAATCATTGATACTCACTAAGAAGATATGAACAATTTGAACAAAAAAGTTGCAAATTTTAGTTTTCTACTGCATTTATTGTTATAATAAAATATATACTCAAATTTGTTAAAAATAAAAGGGATTTTTATTTTAAAACATTTTTTTTTACAATAACAAACATCAGCCCCAGGGATCTTAGATAGGAGAACTTGGGACACAGAACAGTAGTATAGAGAAGTGCGCACTCTGTGTTAAAATAAGAGCAACACTACCCCCTCCAGATTCGTATGGCACACACGCGGGAAATTTNGAACCGCACTGCCTAAAACAAGTTAAATTGTCCGTTAGATAGCGCTTGCGGTGTGACAGTGTCAAAATAAAACCATGGATGTAATAGAGTGTCTCTATTACATCCATGAACAAAACATAATAAACATAACCTACAAACACTCTATCTCTTTTCAATACAACCTAAATGACGTTCATCTCTTTCTCGCATTTGAGCGGGGAGCAGGGGACGCAAAAGTGAGAATCGTACGTCATCAACGCGGGACTTTTAAAAGCGCAAATGGGTATATAAATTTTCAATAATTTTTTTAACAATGATTTTGTTCGAAAATATTAAAAAAAAAATAACGGTAACTATATTTTTATATAAACTTTCAGAAAATATAATAAAACAAAAATCGTGTATGACCCCATTCGTGTTATATTTTTAAATTTGTCGCTAACTTCAACTTTTAAAAAGTTGAAGTTTGTTCAGAATGACAGATGAAAACGTCATTTTAAAGTGATTTTTTGGTAAGAGTATAATGGTGTGATTAAATAATTAGATTATAATTGACATTATAACATTGTTTCAGCTAACGTTATAACTGATTGGAAGTTCGTCAGATGCAATCTCACACGCCGTGATATTCAAATCTGGCGGCATTATTTGGCAGGTGTAATTGCCATAGGTAATTGCATCTGAGGAATTCCCAACCAGTCGGAACGTTAATTGGAGCCACTATGTAACTACTTTCCAAACAGTTATTCTGTGGTTGGAGCTTTTATATATAAACTCGATCCAACCTGTATTGTAGTGGTTCGGTTCTTAGCTGAATAATTCCAAAATATCCCCAACAGATAGCGCCACATGCGTTCAATTTTTAGTACGAAGTTTTTGGTTAGAAAGTTGCATTTTCTAATTTCTACGAAGCTATTTTCTATGAAAAACATCCTAATTTATTTACATTTGAAGGTTATGTTAATTTTTTCTTTTCAGACAAATATAGTGAAAATATCTCAACATTTCAATCACACTTTTGTACCTTTTGTATTTTTCCCAAAAAGATTTTATCGCTTAAATAGATAAGTAGCACAAGTTAGAAAATTTACTCACATAAAAGCGAACATAACCTCAAAAAAATTTAACAAAATGTGTTCGAAAACAGAAACATTACATTCAAATTACGATGACACGTTGGGATATTCAATAAAGTTATCAGCACCAGGTAAAGTTATTTTGTTCGGAGAACATTCGGTCGTTTATGGAAAATTAGCACTTGCCGCAAGTTTGGGTTTACGAACACACCTTAATTTTATTGAAAACTTTGAAGATGATCATCAAAAAATCGTATTAAACTTCGAAGCTGTTAAACTTTATCATTCCTACGATATCAACGATATAAAACGAGAATTATTTAATGATTCCTCATCAAAAATATTGTTGGATAAACCAGAATTAAATAATCATGAAAAAATCTTATCGAAAGTTCAAGATTTTATATCAAAATATGGAGGAAGTGCCCCAATACAAAAATCTCAACATCAAGCTCTTGTAGCGTTTTTTTATTTATTTATTTCAATGACTAACCAATTAGATGTGACATCATTTACAATCACAGTGAAAAGTGATTTGCATATAGGTGCTGGTTTAGGAAGTTCAGCTTCTTTTTTAGTTGTTATATCAGCAGCATTTTATAAATACTTTAGATTTAAAACCGAAAATCTTTCTGTGGAAGATTTAAATGAACTCTCATTTAATAATCTTGAGTTTAATAAAAAGAAATTTACTGAAAAAGACTTAGAATTGATATCAAAATGGGCTTACAATGCAGAAAAAATAATTCATGGGACACCTTCAGGACTAGATAATACAATATGTACTTATGGAATGATGGTTGAGTTTAAGAAAGGGGGGCCAATCACCCCATTAATATTAAATCACAAATTATCTGTTATTTTAATCAATTCGCAAGTGCCTAAAGACACCAAAGTGCAAGTTGAAAAAGTAGCCTGTTTAAAAGCGAAATATCCAGAAGTAGTTAATAGCATATTAAATGCTATGGAAGAAATTGCCTTGAAAGCATCAACAACATTAAAATCATTAAATATTGAAAATAAAGACGAAGTTGATAAGATATTGGATGATTGTGTTAATATTAACCAAGGCTTATTACAATCATTGGGAGTTTCTCATATTTCTTTAAATAATATTTGTAATATTTTATTGGAAAAGAAATTACATGGGAAATTAACTGGCGCTGGTGGTGGAGGATACGCATTTGGGTTTATTCCAGAAGGTTATGCAAAAGAAGATTTGGATTTTGTTATTAAAAATCTTGAAAAAAATGGATATGAATCGAAAATTATTGAATTAGGTGGAGCAGGACTTATCAATCATTAAGAAAAGTACATTTATAGTTTTTCTTTAATTAAATTGTTATATTTATGAAATATAATTTATTAAATTTGACAAATTTTAAATTTAATTAATTTTCTAAAATCATCAAAACATGACTTTAAATTAACTGGAGTAGCACAAGGTTTATATATCAATATTGAACATGAAAATATAAGTACCTATGTATTATTTAAAGCCCTAATGTAAATTATTTATTCAATATTTATATGTACAAAATATGCTAACGATTTTTTAAAATTTCTTTACACAGCAGCAGTTTTTTAAATAGGTATATTTATTTTTATACAATTACTAGAGTTTACTAATTAAGGTAATATTTCATTGAAAACAGCTGTACACCTTTAATATACAGGTGCCCATTATGTATATAGTGTATGTTGTTATGTTATTGTTTGTTATATACAGGTGTATCTGAATGGCTGCAACAAACTTCAATGGGTGATTCTTTAGTGAATTTTAAGGGTACTTTGATATATGAACCATGCGCGACTTCGGCTCCCCTAAGGAGCTACACCCCTCCAAAAATGGCGGAAAATTTTGGTTTAATTTGTTTTTCTCAAAAACCATAAACGCTAGGAAAATGAAATTTGGGGAATATGTTTAACTCATAATAGGGCATGTTTTGACCCTACTTGTACTTTCAACCTACCCTTCTAAACTACTAAACGTAATCACCCCCTTCACATTTTTGCTACTCTTATACTTACTTTATTTGTCCTAATCAATGAGAAAACAGAATCACAGAAATTATTGATTGATAATTTTGAAATTTGGTACAGTAGGCGGTAAGTAACAAGTATAGTACTTTTATTATTTTTTTCCCTAGATTAGTTCACCTTATGTATGCGAAATCAATTGGGATTTCTTATCATGTAGTATTTTAGATGCAAATCAGAAATTTGATAGGTTCCTCGAGATCATCCTTCATGGTTTCTGCAATGCATTCCCTATAAAAACAGTAAAATGATGTGGAAAATAAGGTGCTGGTTTACTGATGACCTGAAAAGTATGAGAAATCGCTTGCATTTATTAACGGACAGTTGTAAAAATACGGGTTGCAGTGTACTGAAGGGTGAGCTCGCTGCACTAAAAAAGAATTATAAAGAAAAAATAAGGGAAGCAAAGATAAACTGTAACGATAGCTTTTTAAAACAAAATAGTTTTTCAAGTAGGTCAATGTGGCAGATTGTTAACAATCACCGGATTAATAAAAAAACTAGTATCAAAGCTTCGTTAAACCCAAATGCGGTAAATGAATATTTTGTAGGCATCCCCTTAGACCTCGTTAGCGAAATTTCAATTCGTAATCAAACAACTAATTTTGATGATCTGCTGTCGAATATTTTATTTTATTTTATTTTATTTTTTATTTGGGATGCAAACGGGACAAGCCCAGCGAAGCATCCACTAAAAATATACAATATTATAAACTAAAAACAAGAATTTAGCAATAAGTAACAAAAAAAAATATCAAACAGGTTAACAAAAAACATAGCAACAGAAATAAAATTTAACAAAAAAGTGAAACTTAAGCAAAACTAATAATCAAAAATATTGAAAAAAAAAAATCAATCAAAAACAGAATTAACGTCGCAAGTCAAACGGCGCACGAGATGCACATGGGAGATCATTAACCAATTTCCTTAATGTAGACCGGGGAGTAGCAAACAAGTCTAAATCAGAACAAAAATTGTTATAAGAAANGACAGTGGTAGGCCAATAGCGCTGCCGATAGTTTCAACAATCGTCGTTACGTTCTCGCTTGCCGCCTCAGGGACACCCAAAATTTCCAAATTAGAAAGACGGGAGTGCTGTTCTAAATCATTAACTCTCTGCCGCAGATCGCGATTCTCCTCACGAAGGGAATCAACCGCAGCGCAACGGGATTGTAGATCGCCGATTACCTTTTCATATTCTGTGAATCGATTGCAAAGCGTAGCGTATTTTTCATTCAGTGCTTGCAACTGATTGCATATAACCAAAAGCGTATCTTGATTAGCCTGGGTTCCGTCGGGGACCGGCTCAAAATCCTCCGCCGCAATAATTGACGAGTTGCCCAAGTCGCGGCAACTGGGGCAGCGCCACGATGAACCGGGCAGCGTCAGAGCGGCAAGTGCCGCTGGTGGAACTTCGGCGCAGCGGGCGTGGAAAGATCCCCCACACGACCCAGCGCACGACAAACCGGATGCTTTTTTGGAAATGGCCTTGGAGCACAAGGAACAGGCATGCCGTACGACGTGATAACAAATCGAAAAATAATAAAACAATATTCACCAACCTGATTAGAATAATTGAATTGAATTGAAAGATTCAGGATAAACTCTTGATTAAGCTAAGAATGAAAACTATCGCGAAAAACCGTAAACTTTTCGCACTATTAAAAATTATTGAAGGAAGACCAAAAGACACGCCTGATCTTCGCGACAGCACCACTTGTATATGAAGTCATTGAATCATCATGAAGTCATTAAACATCGTTTCAGTATGGAACCTGTTGGATGTAATGAGGTTCGAGATATTATTGGTTCCCTGAAGAATAAACCTTCCAAGGATGTTTTTCCTGGTGTCATGAAGTCGGCATTGGTCATTCCGGTCTTTAAAAAAGATGATCCTCAAGAAGTAAAGAACTATCGTCTCATTTCGCTGTTACCGGTATTTTCTAAAGTTTTTGAAAGAGTCATTAAGGATAGAATTATAAATCATTTTGAAAAAAACAACATATTCACACCTAGTCAGTGTGGTTTTTCGACAGAATCTCAGTACTAGGGATGTAATTGTGGATTTTGTCCGCCAGGTGATGGATGGCTACGAAAATGGGGAATTTACATACACAACCTTTTGTGATCTCAGTAAGGCCTTTGATTGCGGTCTTTTGTTAAAAAAATTGGACAAACATAATTTTGATGAAAGTACTGCTAGATTAATAGAATCTTATCTTACTAATAGAAAGCAAGTAGTTTATTGCAATGAATATTATTCAGAACCCAAAAATATTTCTATAGGGGTTCCTCAAGGATCGATACTAGGACCGGTGCTTTTTCTTATTTACATAAATGATTTGCCGAATGCTATCACTAGTGCATCGGTAATATTCTACGCAGATGACACCACACTTATTAACAAAAGTACAAATTTGGTAGATGCTCTTGCCTTATCTGAGATTGCTGCGATCGGAGGCTGAACAGTGGTTTGCCTGTAACAAATTAAATTTGAATAAAAGCAAAAGTATGGAAGCTGTTTTCACGCTTCAAAACGCTGGTGCGGACTCAGACAGAAAACAAGTAGTGGATTTCCTGGGTGTACGTCTCGACCCTACCTTAAACTGGGAACACCACATAGATAGGTTGTGTGGACGTTTGAGTAGCAACATCTTTGTGTTGCGAATTCTAAGCAATAATGTGTCGAGGGCTGTGCTGAGATCGGCATATCATGCTTTGTGCCTTAGTCGCTTATGTCTTACGCGTTATTAGCGTGCGGAGCTTGTGCTAGGTGGCACAGAGTTTTCCGATTACAGCGACGTGCTGTGCGAGTGGTCTGTGTTACAGAGATTCTTGCTGTGCTTCATTTATCAGTTATCAGATTTTAAGGTTTCCTTTATTATATATTCTGGAGTGCCTGTTGTACGTACGTAGAAACGTAGGAAAATTATACTATAATACACGAAATAGTCACAAGTTAATGCCAAACTTTTGCAGACTCTCTAAGTCACAAAAGTGTGTCGATTTTGCTGCTCTTAAATTCTGTAATAAATTGCCAGCATCGGTAACGCTGCTCTTGGTGGGAGCTTTTACGGTGGCGGTCAAGCGGTTCTTGCTGACAACGGGTTTTTACTCCTCTTCGGAATTTCTGGACCGCGACCTCTCAGAGGAAGATTTTAATATATAACGTATTTTGTCAGACATGGTAGTATCGGCTGTAATGAATGTTAATTGTAGTGTATCGGTACCGTATGTAATTTTTTTTTGACTTGATGGGTAAAACAAATTTGTAATTGCACGAATAAATTCTATTCTATTCTTAAGATGTACTTTCAGTGAAACGAAAGATAAAAAGGGCCGGACATTAGCAGTTTCAGACACGTTTCAACTATGTTGAAGAAACATTTCATGTTTCAATAATATGTATCAGAAATGTTTCTGAAACGCAAATTCGTTTACTGGGTAGTCGAAAAATGAATACGTTGCTCAAATATTGGAGTCAAAATCAAGAAGTAATATTTTGTATAATTTTTCAAGCATGATCGAAAACTTGGGCAATGTCGAGGAAAAGATTGACAGCTCTTTTCCTATTAGTATTGCTTCATTGCAAAGTCGTTTTCAATCATTTTAGAAATTTGGGCTTCGAGGTTCATCATATTAATGTTAAAAATAATCAATGATTTACGATGAGAAATGTTTATTAACAGAATGTTTCAGTGCGACACTGTTTCAACTGGCAAACCCCAGCCTTTTTCAAGGACGACTGAAAAGTACATGAGACAACGAGTTAAAATTAAGTTATATAAAAAGGTTCAAGTTACCAAATTACTTTTATATAAAATGTACAATGGAAAAAATTGAGATATTTACCGTCAGTGACCCAATAAACAAACTTGACTTTTGCTTTTTTCGACTACGAGAGGACTTTTCAGTTAAGATAGAACAAACAACGACCTCGGTTGGTTTACAAAAAATAACGATCTTCTTATAAACTTCTCCATAACAAGCATCAAATAAAATGTGTTATAAACTGTTTAATCTTTTCAGTCGTACTTGAAAAAGACTGGGTTTTGTCAGTTGAAACAGTGTCGCACTGAATTGCATTCTGTTAATAAACATTTCTCATCGTAAACTATTGGTTGATTATTTTTAGATTTCAATCATGTTCGATAATCGTTGCAGTTGATGGCTGGTCGAGAAGTGGCTTCTGTATCCAAACTGTCCATGCATTATTCCACATTGACGGTTATCTTTTCTAGGTTTTCGGAGGTTAGATAATAAACTAATCGGTCGGTATCTAGTGAACAGTTCTTGGCCTTCTCTGGTTTTAATAGCATAATTTCATAAAACTGGTTGTCATGTAGCGGCGCCTCGATTTTATTAGGTGAAGTTGTAGATCGTTTGACCAATTAAGCCTAGGTCACTTGCGGCCGAAGCTCAGTGATTAAAATTATATCAACCTGAAATTGGTCATCATATTGCGGCTTGTTTGTAAAAATGGCGCACTTTTTATTGTTTTTTCTTTGGAAAAGTAATTCGAAAAGAATATGTAGTATTCAATAAAAGATAAATATCTCCTGATAAGTTGACTGCCAGCTTTCTCCATCTCTTTGGTTGTTTGGTTCTAGGCTGGTTATTTGTAAACACAATTTTAAACATTTTACAACGGCCTGAACCCTGCGTTGGTCTCTGATATTGGAGTTATTAATTCTGCCCTATCTGGTCTTTCTTGAGATCGCCTTCAGGGTCTTCATTTCTTCTACTCTTAACTTGCTCTTCTATTTATTTGTGTCTGCATATTTCAATGCCGTAAGCAATTAGGTACTTTACTATTTAGTTTATACTATGTACTTTACTAAGAGGTACTTTTATTGCGCATTCTACTACCTATATGCATGAATTTGTTCGACCAAACATTATCTCAAATTGAGATTCCGGACACTTTGTTGATTTGACTTCTCAGGTCTTTTGCGGGATCGTGAATGTTTGGGAAAGTAGGAACATTTCATGACTAGTTCGATGGGAATATTGTCGACTACCAGATTACATTTTTTTGGCACTCTTGCTACCACCATGCATTTAATTTTTAAAGTAGACAACCCAATTCATGTTCAGAGCTTCACTTGCTTGATAGAATCTATGTAGTTGTTGTTGCAGTTCACTAAGTTAGCGATTATTGCAGCGTAATCAGCGTAGCATATTAAGCAGACTTTCTGTTGACCTATTTTATATCCTAAAATTAAAGTTATCACTTCCTCGATTATTTTATCCATTAATACGTTGAACAAAAATGGGCAAGAGAGACCTTTTCGGATGCTATCTGATATTGGGATGTCTTCAGTTAATTCTTCTCTGGCCTTTTCTTTAGTTGTGTTCTTTGTGTCTAATTTGTGTATTATGTTTATGATATCAAATTTGGACAAATCAACAAAGCATATATGCAGGTGAATTTTTACATGACACATACTTTACATTACTATTTTGTATTACATTTAAATAACGTGAGTTGTTTTTGATAATTGACTAGAAAGGGTTTTCTTTCCAACAACTTTTTCTTTCCTTTTATTAACATGTCTTTCATGTCTTCTTTTCATTTCAAGGATTTCCTTCATTTCTTCTTTATCTTCATCCTACAATTACAAAAAAGAACTTGATAAATATAATCGTTTGTAAACATTGCAATTTGTTACGCTTTGATTAAGTCGCAAAACCAAAGCTCTTCTTCCATCAGACATTGGTTGAGAATAAACCATTAATTGTTTCAATCTTTCAGCTGGACTAACTCCTCTTTCAACAACTAACACAATCCTAGCCCATTGTCTTTGCCATTCATTTCTTGTTTCAGCTATTTTTTGATATGTATTTCCCATCATTGCGATTAACATGTTAATTAATAAAATTGCCACTATTCCCATGTAAATAACAAATAGAAGCTAAAATAGAATTAATTTTTATATTAAAAGTGTTATTTAATGATATTATTACTTTTGCTACGTATTCGTGTTCAGTTCTTGAAAATGCGGTGTAATAATCCCCGAAATTTGTTAAAGACATTAAAAACATCGCCATTATTGATTCCATCGGGGTAGACATGGGGTTTGTTGCGGAATCGTCAACATCTTCAGGGGTTAAGGGATTATCGAAAGATAGGAAAATTATGTAATAAGCTGAAATTAAAAAGAATGTTATAATTATTTAAGAATTTAAAAAGAAACACCTTGTGAAAATCCCATTACAAAAACCAAATAAATTGAAGCGAATCGAAGTAAATCACCCATAACCATACGATAAATCATAACAACGAAAGGACCAACCGTTTTAAATCCTCTAAAAAAATGGTTAAAGATAAACAAAAATATTTTTGGTTTAAGATTTATTACCTGCAGAAAAATAGAAAATACGGCGCTGTCGTTAACATAATAATAACAGCAATAGAATCTTCAATTTCATCTGAGCATGAAAATCTTAGCCACGGAATTATAAGCATTAATATACACGAAAATAGAAACATAACTCTGGATGGAGCGGTCATCTTAAGATAAAAAATTATTTAAAAAATACGAATATAAATTGTATCGTTTTCATACCAAATTTTCAAAAAACATTCTAACCCCTAAAAATCGCGCCTCTCTAACAGCCGCTGCTAAATAACTAAAAGCACCAATTAAAATAGCGATTTCAGCTGCGACTCGAATTTTTTTCTCGTTATTGTCAAAATTTAATAATCGGCATTCCTCTTGCATGGATTCCCACCATTCCTCGACGTTCTCCGTTTCATTTTCGTATCGAAACGTTTCATTTAACACAATACCAAAATTTAAAGACTCGGAAATATTTATTTTTAGCGTAATATTAGTTGAGTTGGTCGAATTTGTTGAAACCGATGACATTAGAGGCCCGGGTCTTAAAGTAAAACAAACCAATGAGATAATAAAATAAAATGAGAAGGTGTAGAATTGTCTGTAAAATTTCTTTTTAACGAAAGCATTCCATTTTGCCGTTAATAAATCGATGATGACACCGTCCATTAATTCTAAATGTTCACCTTTATCCTATAAAAAGAATTATTAATAAGTATATAAATTAAAATTGGAATTTATCTTACACCAAATACAACTGAATTTAAAACTGAAGTTTTGCTGATGTTTCCTGTTTCGATATCGATGGTATCAATTTGACTTAAAGGGTAAGCAGCACATGTTATACTCCCTATTTGCCAATAAATTTCCCGTTCAATATTTAATATATGAAAAAATATTTCAACGCGAGCTAATTGAGCGGCTAAAGTAAGGGGTGTTAAGTTTTTTACGTTTTTTATTGCTAAACTAGCTCCGACCTCATAAGCCATATCAAAAGCATCCTAAAAAATTAATAATTGTAAATAACAACATTAATTAAAACGAAACTAATCATACAATTTTTTGGTAAATAACTAAAAGATGCAACACGGTATTTCCATTTGTATCTTGTGCATCTGGATCAGCTCCCCTAGATAACATCAACCTGAAGCATTCTTCTTGTCCGAGACATGCGGCGAATGATAATGGATATTCACCCCAGTAAACATATCTAAAATAAGTATTTATATAACTCTGTTTTAAATTAAAAGGAAATATATACCCATTATAATTTGTAGATGAGTATATATTTCTTAATTGTGGATAAGGAAATGGAGGAAGGGTGATGCTAGAAGAAATATGGAGGAAGAATATAAATGGTGAGGAGTACCGAAGGTAGTTTTGAAAAGGATGTGAAGGTAATTTTCAAGACAGGGATGACCATTAGAACTTTACAGGGTTCTGGTCAAAATTAAAATTTGAAAATTCAGATTTAAGTATTATCAATTGCGTTCTCTTCGACTAAAATATTTTTAGATATCTAACACTTCCGGTTATACCGGAAGTCGCCACCTACTTTATTTTTTTAAATGGAACTTCCTGTATATTTTTACATATTTGGATTTGTCTGTTTTCAAGGTTTATGAATAACTTTACTTTTTGGAATTTGATTCGGCCGTTCTCGAGTTATTCGAATTTTTCTAGAAAAATCTGCTCCAGCACACATTTGTTCAAAAAATCAGAGAACACTCGATTTTTGGGATATCAATTTAGGATTCAGAACATGCTTAAGCAACATGATGGAGTATGTTTTGGTGCCGAGTATGGCTGTCTAGAACGTTTGGTCACTTTACTGTGGCACGTTACTTTTTCGAAACTTGGAAGTACCATAACTTAATTTTTTTAAATGGCACCCCCCATATTTTATTACTTAGTCGTCTTCGGTGTCTCTTTTTACATCTTTTATATCCGATATGTCCTATACCTAACATTTATAGTTTGGGAGATAATTAGGGTTTTTTGAAAAATGTACACACATATCGATATTTAACCTAGTGTGTCATGAATACCTAGTGCGACCTAGTGAATAACCGGATGAAGTGGAAGTTTGAAAATTTGTAGACTTGTGATGTTTGATGCCAGCTTTGTAACTAAAGTATTTTCAGGTTCCAGGTACTTGTGGTTACACCGGAAGAGGTGACAATTTTCATATTTCAAATGGAACACCTGAGTTTTATTACATTTTTCGGGGATAAATACACAAGAGCTTGACTTTTAATCGGATAATTTTATTTTTACACGAAAATTTTGTTACCATGGAAATAACTCGAAATCAAAAGCATGATAAAATCGCGACAGCTTTAGCTGGAGCGATTTTATCTTTTGATTTTGATTGAGAGTTATTTCCAAAGGGTAACAAAACTTGAGTGAATTAAAAATAAAATTATCCTGATTTAAAATCAAGCTCGAGCGTATTTTAGGGAGATTAATACACGACAATTGCACAATTTATCGACAATTTTTAATTATTTATTAACTATTTTTGACTTAATTATAGTTGTCAAAAATGTGACAGGTAAACAAAAGTATATATATGGTAGTCGCGTTTTTATCAGTTATAAAATATCACGTGTGATTTATTCAGTTGAAAAACCTAGGTAACTTTTATCCACTTAGAAATTCACGTTATTGGTCGAAATTTTAAACGATCGTTACTCTGATTGGTTGTATATTATTGGAGTGCATTAATCAATCAAAAATGTCAACTACAACGTTACTTTTTATAATTTATAAATCAACTAGTTTGACCGCCGAAAAAAAATTTGGTGTTGTGGAATGTTGTTGTGGTTATGTATTAACAGAGGATCAGTAAGGAAAGAGTAAACAGTTTAACATTTGCTAAAGCTATGGTTTACTTCTGTTGGTGTGATGACTAGGTTACTTTTTGTAGTGATCTGTTCTCAAAAAATGCCACATTTGGAATTTAGTAATGAGGATTATTTGAATTTGATAATAATTTATGGAGAGTGCAACCCTTTGATTATATATAATATGGATTGAGCCAACGGGAGAGATAGCTTGCGCAAGGTGATCGAACCGAGATAGACATAGAAGCGTACTGCCATATAATGGGTGTACTGATAGAAGTGAGATAGATATAGAAGCGTACTGCCATATAATGGGTGTACTGATAGAAGTGAGATAGATATAGAAGCGTACTGACATATAATATATCTATCTTTGTTACACACCTTGAGCAACATTTTTGTTAGTAGATATATTCAGTTAGCTCAATCCATATTATATATAATCAAAGGTGCAACCAAATAATTGCGTATACGTGTCGGCTGCAACATATAAATGGCCTAAAATTGAACAAAAATTTCAAAAATGTAATGAAATACAGGTGTTCCATTTGAAATATGAAAATTGTCACCTCTTCTGGTGTAACCGCAAGTACCCGGAACCTGAAAATATTTTACTAAAAAGCTGGCATCAAACATCAGAAGTCTGCAAACTTTCAAAAGGCCACTTCATATGGTTATACACTAGGTCACACTAGGTATTCATGGCACACTAGGTTAAATATCGATATGATATGTGGGCATTTTTCAAAAAACCATAATTATCTTCCAAACTATAAATGTTAAGTATAGGACATATGGGATATAAAAAATGTAAAATGAGACACCCAAGACGACTAAGCAATAAAATATGGGGGGTGCCATTTAAAAAAATGAAGTTATGGTATTTACAAATTTCGAAAAGTTAACGTGACGTAGTTAAGTGACCAAACGTTCTAGACGGCCGTATTCGGCACCAAAACATACTCCATCATGTTGCTTAAACATGTTCTGAATCCTAAATTGATATCCCAAAAATCGAGTGTTCTCTGATTTTTTTAACAAATGTCTGCTAGAGAAGATTTTTCTGGAAAAATTCGAATAACTCGAGAAGGTGGCGACTTTCGGTATAACCGAAAGTGCTAGAAATCTGAAAATATTTTAGTGGAAGAGAACTTAAATCTGAATTTTCAAATTTTTGTTTTGGCTAGAACCCCGTAAAGTTCTAATGAACGGTCGTCGTGGATGACCCTGTAGAGGTGACGGGGAAGATCTTCAGAGAGTTAGTTCAATGTGGGAGGGTATATATCAAAGCTTTGGTTGTGCATGGTTGAGGAGTATAACGATGTGAGGTCATGTTCTGTGGGCACTGCGGAGAAAAAGAAGATGAATATAAGGTGGAGAGAAGGAACGAGGGGAAAGGTAGGTATGACACCAGGAAAAAATACTGCGGAAAATTCCAGGCAGCCATTGAAACGCTAAGACGCGAGTATTGATTATGACGGTAAAGAGCGGCAAGAGAGTGGAGAAGTATTAATAAACAAGCAAGGACCAAGGGGTGGTATTTGGAACGAGACGGTTGTTTGCAACAAAAGGAAGAATTTCATCAGTAGATGAAATTAAACAGGTGGGATAAAATTAAACAGGGGTTGCTGGAAGAATGGGACATCCTATCTTCTCTGCATACTGACAATACAGAGAAGATAGGAAAAAATGGAAGGGCGAGTGGTGGAATCATAACGGAAGTCAAAGAAGAGATGGCGTTAGCGATGGAAGAAAATTGGGAAAGAAAGGATATGGTAATGAGAGAAGTGAAGATGGATGGGGGTAAAGCGGAGATAATTACGGTGTGTAGTAAAAGGATGGGGGAGACGAAACGTAAAATTGAATCCATGACTCAGGTGATAAGAGAAGGGTAATCGGGAGGACTTTAATGCACGAATTAGAGACGATGGAGCTAGAGCGGGAGAGGACGTAAAGCGGAACAACAACGACAAAAAGTGCAAAACAAGAAAGGTAGAGAACTGTTACAACAGATAAAAGAGAAGGAACGGTAGATTTTGGTCGGGAATAAGAAAGAAGGAGACAAAGTAGTATACTTATATTGGGGCATGAGGAGTCTGTCGATGAACCGTTGGAAGATGATTTGTAGGAAGGTGTAGGACTAAGAGTGGTGGATGAGTGTACGGATGAGAATGAAAGACAGCTGATAAAGTACGACTGGTCGGAATATGAGAGAGAAAAGTATAGAGATACATTGAGAAATACCAACCTATTTATTATAAAGGCAGTATTAATTGTTCGAAAGGCCATTTTACACATTGGCTGGAATTGGAGTGAAGTTAGCGATGACTTTTCAGCGACGGATTTTGTCAATTCCACTACGGTCGCAAATCCGTCGCTAAGATTAAAACGCACAGTGAAACGGATTGAACATAGAAAATATGATCATATTGTGTTAAATGAATGTTACGAAGGTCACTACCTGCTGTTTATCCCAGAATTCTAGAATAACTTTTGAAACTGCTAATAATATGGGGTAAAAACGTCTCGGCTTTAAAAAGAAATAAAACCATCCCCTTGACCGTGAGTTGCAGGGTTGAAATTTGGTGTGAATATAGCTTCAACATCCCTAAGTTGATTTTCGTTAAAATTAGAGTGCTACACATGAAGGGGGGTCAACCCCTAATAGAACTAGGAGGAATTCGCTATGTTAGGTGAAAAAAATAATAAAAATCCACCCCTTAGCCGTGAGTTGCTGAGTTGAAATTTGGTGTGAATATAGCTTCGACATCCCTAAGTTGATTTTCGTTATAATTAGAGTGCTACACATGAAGGGGTGTCAACCCTTAATAAAAATAGATGAAATTCGCTATGTTAGGTGAAAAAAAAATAAAATCCACCCCTTAGCCGTGAGTTGCTCAGTTGAAATTAGGTGTGGATATAGCTTCGACATCCCTAAGTTGATTTTCGTTACAATTAAAATGCTACACATGAAGGGGTGTCAACCCTTAATAAAAATAGGTGAAATTCGCTGTTAGGTGAAAAAAAAAATAAAATCCACCCCTTAGCCGTGAGTTGCTGAGTTGAAATTTGGTGTGGATAAAACTTCAACATCCCTAAGTTGATTTTCGTTAAAATTAGAGTGCTACACATGAAGGGGTCAACCCTTAATAAAAATAGGTGAAATTCGCTATGTTAGATGAAAAAAAAATAAAATCCACCCTTTAGTTGTGAGTTGCTGAGTAGAAATTTGGTGTAGATAAAAATTCGACATCCCTAAGTTCATTTTCGTTAAAATTATAGTGCTACACATGAAGGGGTGTCAACCCCTAATAAAAATAGGTGAAATTCGCTATGTTATATGGAAAAAAAATATAATATATAAAACACATGAATGAAATTTTTATTATATAAAAGTAAGTATATTATTCTAATAAAATAATTAACAAAATTAAAATTATAGTTACTATGATAACAGTCAAAAATTTAATATAATGCAAAGAAACAACAAATATGAAAATAAATTAAAAAAGTCAGTTCGAACACAATAAATAATTGTGTTAGTGTTGTTATGACTGAAATATGAAAGGTAAAAAAAATAAAGACTAAGAAATTATACCTTTACTTAAAAGTTGGTAGATTATGCAGAATTTTGTTTGTGTTTCTTGATAAATTTTACACAAAGATAACAAGTTTGGTCGCTGTTGTAAAAATCTTCGACGCCGTAGGCACATTTGATACATTCTATTACAACTATAACAGGTGGTGCTATTGTATAATAATAATAATAATAATAATAACTTTATTCAGGCTTCATCATGTACAAACTTAAAAAGAAAAAAATATTATACATATACAAAGGTAAAGAAAATGACAAGTACATGCTAAAGTAAAATAAAATACATTAAAGCCTGAATTTAGGCGGAGTTCAGGTAACACCTGTTCTACCACTCAAACCCAAATCAAAAACAATAATAAACTAAAAAAAAATTCAATGACAACTGAGCACCGTCATAGGCTAATGTTGAACATGCACAATAGTTAGCCACACATACTATACTAGAGTGTCCAAAAAATATCATACAAGAATCTCATCCCCCGAGGCCACCAAGGACAAGCCCACAGTCACACACCCAAAACCCAGTCCCGCAAAGATTTCTTAAATCGGTTCAAGGGTAGACCCACTAAATGTTTAGGAAGATTATTATAAACAAATGTAATTTGATATGAGAAGCATCTCTTAAAAAATTCCAAACGATGGGAAGGAGGAGTTAACCTACCCCTGAACCGGATATTGACATTGTGTACGTCCGTTCTAAAGTTAATTCTGTCGAATAGATAAGGGGGGCTCCGCTCCGTAATAATCTTATAATAAAAACATGCTTTGTGAACATACCGACGCGACTTCATATTCATCCATTTAAGTTTCTTAAAAGCAAAAGAGACATGATCGTACTTTCTTAACCCAAAGATCAGCCGGACACAGGAATTCTGGAGCTTTTGAATTTTCTGTTGATGGCGGGAGTCAATAAATGAACCATAAATGTTATCACAATAATTAAAATGTGATAAGACGAGAGAGTCACACAAGAGTTTTTTAACAGAATTATCAAGGCAATGTCGATTACTGAAAATCAATCTCAGAGATCCATATGCCCGCTTTAACAGCATATTAACATGTTCCCTAAAGTTTAGTGACTCATCAATAATCAGGCCAAGGTTCCTAACAGATCCACTCAGAGGAAGAGGCACATTTCCCAGCGAAATGTGGTAGAATCTGTCGATAAAGATTTTTTTCAATTTAGTAGGACCAAATAGGATCATTTGAGTTTTCCTTTCATTAATTTAGACAGTATTCCCGAGCCCCACTGATAATACTAAACAGATCACGCTTGAACTCATTAAGTCCTTCTTCAAAATGGCTTTCAGGGAAGGACAGGTAGATCTGAGAGTCATCAGCATAATAATGAATTTTACAAAAATCAACAAAACTGTTAAAATTTATAGTATAAATCTTAAACAGGGTGGGCCCCAATACCGAGCCCTACGGCACCCCAGACTCAATCTCCAAAGGTCCCGAGACGTTACCGTCAACACAAACAGATTGAATTCTACCTTTAAGGTAATTGGAGAAAAAATCCAAGAATGGACAGTAATAAATTATGGTTAAGTGTATCGAATGCCTTCGAAAAGTCCAGCAATCCTAACAGGGTCAATTTATTGGAGTCAGTAGCTATGACAATGTCATCAACTATGTTATTCAGAGCAGACTCGCATCCATGTCCCTCCCTGAAGCCAGACTGGTTCACCGGAATTATGCGCTCGGAGTCCAGGAAGTCTATCAGCTGGCTGTTAACAATCTTTTCCGAGACCTTGGACAAGGAACACAATATACTTATGGGCCTCAAGGAAGAAAAATCAATGGAACTAGACACTTTAGGTACCGGAATGACAATCGACTTTTTCCACAGTGAAGGAAAAACAACCTCCAGTAGACAAGTATTAATTATGTTTACTATATGAGATAAAATTACAGGACAAGCCAGTTTAATAAAATGAATTCCAATACCATCCGCGCCGACAGCATTCGACCTTACGCCCTGCAATACATTCATGATAGAACTTTCGGAAATGAGGCTAAATTTAAAGATATTAGGGCCAAACTTAGAGTTATTGTAAACGTTTATCAGATTATCAACTCTACAACTGGGTCTTCAAAAAATGGTCGTTTAATTCAGAACAATTTTTTAAGTTATTTGGCAAGGAATGATCCTGAAATTTTAGTAAATTATTTCGACGAAGCACTTTCCACGGATTAGTAGAATTTTGGATTTCCTGAGTCATATAGGCACGCTTCTCATTTTTAATAGAATTATTCACAAGATTCCTCAAATCCTTATAATAATTCCAATCGGCCAGACTCTTTGTTCTTTTAAATTTAGAAAGGGCTTTATTTCTTAAGTCCCGCATAAGCCGAACACTATCAGTAAGCCACGGGCATGGGACGTGGTCACCAGAAACCTTTACCAGCGGGGCAAATCTATCAATAGCCAAAGTTAACAAACAATTAAATAAATCTACTTTCTCATCAATATCACGTAAGTAAAATATATTGTCAAAAGGAAGAGACCGCAAGAAGGCCAAAAAAAGGGACAGGTCAAAATATTTCAGAGATCTAACATACCTGGAGGAGGCAGTTGGCTCAAAGGATAAATTGAACTTGCAAGAAGACACTCCTTCATGTGTAGCACTCTAATTTTAACGAAAATCAACTTAGGGATGTCGAATTTTTATCCACGCCAAATTTCAACTCAGCAACTCATGGCTAAGGGGTGGATTATATTTTTTTTTTCATCTAACAGCGAATTTCACCTATTTTTATTAGGGGTTGACACTCCTTCATGTGTAGCACTCTAATTTTAATGAAAATCAACTTAGGGATATCGAAGCTATAACCACATCAAATTTCAACTCAGCAACTCACGGTAAGGGCTGGATTTTTATTATTTTTTTCACCTAACATAGCGAATTCCTCCTACTTTTATTAGGGGTTGACCTCCCTTCATGTGTAGCACTCTAATTTTAACGAAAATCAACTTAGGGATGTTGAAGCTATATTCACACCAAATTTCAACCTTGCAACTCACGGCTAAGGGGATGGTTTTATTTCTTTTTAAAGCCGAGACGTTTTTACCTTATTTTATTAGCAGTTTCAAAATTTATTCTAGAATTCTGGGATAAACAGCAGGTAGTGACCTTCGTAACATTCATTTAACACAACACGATCATATTTTCTATGTTCAATCCGTTTCACTGTGCGTTTTAATCTTAGCGACGGATTTGCGACCGTGTTGGAATTGACAAAATCCGTCGCTGAAAAGTCGTCGCTAACTTCACTCCAATCCCATTTTCCGAAAAACAATATTTTAAGCTAAACTATTTGGGTTAATAAGCGTTTTCAAATAAAGTACGAGGATAGGCTGGAGCAGAGGAGCAATTTAATATTTTAGGAGAGTGTTGAATGGACAGTAAGAATGGGGTGAGTGAGTATAGATAACAAGAAAGAAGGGAATATTATATCAGAGTAGGGTACTCAACAGAGGAGGGAAGAATCAAACACTGTGGAAGGAGTTGTTGGGTAGAGATAGAGATGTGGAAAAACAAGAACATCGTGCTCAGTTGAAATAGGGGATAAACAATAAGAAGTAAATAATAAGGTCATAATAAATGAGGAAATTCCAGGGTACCTGATGGAGGAGGGTAGAGGGAAGGAAAAAGTATGATTGCGCGATTTAAGCGCAAGAATGAAGAGGGGACGAATAAATATTGTATGGGAGATGACGAAAGGAAGTGTAGATTGTGTGGAGATGTGAGAAAGAAAAGGGTGGATGGCAGAGATGATGAGTGAGAAGAGGGGGCGGATGAAAATAACAAAAAGAGATATATATACCCATCATAATTCGTTTCTATACAAACATTAACCCACTCATGATCCAAAGAATCCCATCTTGAAGATTTTTGATCTTCAGGGCACATAAAATTACCAAAACAACGTTCTTGAAAATTTACCCCAGCGTCTAAAAGGTATCTAACCATTGAAGGATCTTCGTTTACAATTGCCACATGAAGAACATTTTCACCTAAATAAAAAAAAATTATGTTTGAGAATTTAATAAAATTTTATAAAGAATAACCATAATATTCGTCTGACATATAAATATCGTTAATTAATTTTGGATAAAATCTTAAAATACGTTTAGCTATATCGCTATGAAGAGATGTTGCGTTCAAAAGGCATAGATGAAGGATTGTTTCACCAACGGCCCCGCGTTCTTTTAATTTCCAACATAAATGTCTATAAAGATGTGGATCTAAAAAATGTGTTAATGTTAATGCAATAAATACGGTAATTTTAAAAATAAACTTTTTTGATACTCTTCTTCCGAAATATCAGGTCCTTCATCATCAATTTCGAAATCATCAGGATTTTCCATCATTTTTAATTGGGGTAACTAAAATCAATTTCAAATATTAATAAAAAATACGTTAATTTAATTTCAACTCACCAATTTATGTCTTGGTCTATCTTTATTTCTTAACAATACTAATTGTGCTAATGGAATATATTTTCCTTCACCTTTATTATACAAAAACGGTTCAATTTTAGTTTTTATAGCATGATCAATTTCAGCGTACTGTTTATTTTGAGCGGCTCTTTTCATTAATTCCACAAATAAACCACCACCTTTTAAATCAACAAATTTATAAATGGCTTGCATAGAAGCCCCGGCTTGCTTTTTAACACCGCTAGTAACATTACTTTCCGTATTTCCCATTATTAATTGAGAATTAATTCGTTAAATTGGATTTTTGGTAAATAAAATTTTACTGTTTGAAAAGCAACTTTATTTGATCAATAATAAAAGGAGATTAGTACAGAAATATGTTTGATCAATAAAGTGATTCAAAATAATGAATGTAAAATAAAAATAAATTCATTTCTTCTTTCCTCTTCCTCTACCCGGCTTTTTTTCTGCTGGTTTTTTCTCGCCTCCTTTTACTGGTTTCTTTGCTTTTTTAGCAGTTACCATAGAGTCTTTAGAAACATCTTCTTCATCACCATCACTTAAATTTTCATCATTTTCACTGTTTAAATTATCTTCTTCTAAATAAGAAGAGGCCTTCTTTTTAACCGTTGTTGCAGAAGCATATGGAAGCAAAACGTTTTTATTGTAAGCTCGTGTAAAAGCAGCTTTAACTTTGCTATCAACCATAGCCATAGGATCGCTTTGTTTTGACCAAGAAGTAACGTGTATTAAGTTACTTAAATCTTCTCTTAATAAATTGTAAGTGTTCATGACTGCAACGGAGTCATTAACACCTTCGTTTCCATTTTTTATTAATGGTTTTATTATTTTATTTCGAATGAAATAGCTGTAATCTAAATTTACGTCGTTTCGACTACCAGAAATACTAAAAATAAATTATGTTTAAAATAAATATTATAATTGAATGGTTTATTTCAGAAAGGGGCTAAGTAACATTTTTGACAATTTTGAGATACATAAGTGTATGTTCGTATTATCTTTTTGTACACCTATCTTTGGGTGTAGAAAGGAAGTATGATTCATAAGTCTCTAACATTTATTGTTGGGAGAGAATATTTCGTTTGCTGTAGAAAGGTACTAAGTATCGTTAGATAGTCCCTTTCTGCTACAAACTGTCAGTTTGACCACTAACAATTACGCAACTAGGGCTTGAACATATAAAAGTGATTGCTATCTGCCTAGCGATATTATTATTAGCCAATCATATTACTGAATCATATTTCGTTGATAGGGTACGATGGCTCATATCGCAGATCGCAATTGCTATATGTGTGCAAGCACTTATCGACTCAACCTACAGTCAAAACGTTATTACTAAATTAAGTAACAATAACTGCTTTAAGTGGTAATAATGGAAGAAATAGAAAGTGCATGTTCGCTAAGTGATACAAAAATCAGAATTTCTAAAAAAAGGAAAAGAGGAGTTAACAATTCCGACTATTATACTCGAAATATTATAAAACATGTTAGAATTATTAAGGAAAACGATATTTTAATTACAAGGGAAATGATGAAGAAAAAAGTGTGGCAGAGAGGGGAGGTAGAGATAGATAGATATATAGAGGCCAGGAAAAAATACAAAAATGAATGCAAGAAAAAGAAGAGGGAGCTGAAGGAAAGGGAGGCTTAGAAAATTAAGGAGTTGAAAGAAAAAAATGAGGTATGGAGATACTTAAAGAGGATGAGGAAGGGAAGGGAGGAAGTCAGCAAAGATATAAGTAATGTATTGTTAAGTTAGACCACTGGATGGCGTTACCATATAGAACATTGTATTACATATGTGTTGCATCAAGTTATGACCAGTTAATAAACAACGTAGCAAAGGAAAGCACGTGTTTTATTGAACACAACATGGTGACAGCGGTATAAAAGTGCAGAAAAAGAAAAGAAAAAGTGAAAAATGGAGGAAGCAAGGTTAGAGAAAATGAGTTTCACGGGAAACGTAAGCCAAAACTGCGAAAAATTTAAAAGTAAATACAAATTATATATAGACGCGTTCTGCGACGAGAACATAAAAGAAAAGAAAAAGATAGCAATGTTGTTATACGCTATGGGCGATGAAGGACAAGAGATATTCAAGTTATTTAATATAAAAGAAGACGAAAAAACATTAGATACAATCATGGAAAAGTTTGAAAAGCATTTCGTACCGAAAGCGAACGTTACGTACGAACGTTATATGTTTTTTAATAGAAAACAAAAAGAAGATGAAACTTACGAACAGTATGTGACAGTGCTCAGAAATTTGAGTGATAACTGTAAGTTCGGTACCCTGAAGAAAGAGCTGGTGAAGGATATATTTATTGGGGGCATAAAAAGTCAACAACTTTTTGAAGGCTTTAGAGATGGCGCAAGTCAGGGAAATTTCCGGAAAGCAAGTCGAGGCGTTGGATGCGAGACATGAAATCGAAGTGGTAAAGAAGAATGAAAATACTAGTCGAGGTTGGAGATGTAAAAAATGTTTAACCGAACATGAATATAAGAAATGTCCAGCATATGGGAAGCAGTGTTACAAGTGCAACGGTGCAAATCATTTTTCAAGGGCATGCAGAGCAACAAGCGGCAGCAATCGAGAAAAGGCGGAGACAACGCGGCGATACCAAGGGACAGAGACGGCGACCAGCGGTCAGAAGAAAGGCGGCGGCACGAGCGGCAAACGTGGATTCAAAGGAGTAAGAGAAATAGAAAAAGATAAGTACCTTAGTGAGAATCAAAGTTCCGACTCAGACCACACTATTGAGACTGTAGTAAAAAACGTAAACAGTGTAAATTCTTGGTTTGAAAAGTTAAAAATTAACGGTAAATTTTTAAGTTTTAAAATAGACTCAGGCGCGGATTGCAACTTAATGTCGTTAGATGATTATGTAAAATTAGGGTTAAATAAAAATGATATTATAAAAACTAATGATCATATCAGTACGTATACAAAGGAACAAATTTCAATGGCAGGTTACGCTAAAATAAAGTGTTTGTTAAAAGAGAATAGTTATAAAATAAAATTCTATATCACACAGAAAACGTATAACAATGTATTAGGTTTAAACACATGCATAAAATTAGACATTTTAAGAAAAGTTAATCAGTTAAATAGAGGTTTTGAAAAATATGCTGATTTATTAGACAATAAGATAGGCTGTATAGACACAAAAGTTAAACTAGTATTAGATAAAGATGTTAAAGCAAAAATAGCACCATTTAGAAGAATACCGTTTAGTATTAGAGATGATTTAAAGAAAGAGTTGGATAGAATGGTGAAATTGGAAATTATCAAACCAATAGAAGAACCGACTGAATGGGTTAGCAACATAGTAATAGTAAAAAAGAATAACGGGAATTTAAGAATATGTCTTGACCCACAACAGCTTAATAGAGCAATAAAGAGGAGCCATTATCCACTTCCAGCATTAGAAGAAATGGCAGCAAAATTGCATGGATCAAAATATTTCACCAAACTAGACGCCAATTCCGGGTATTGGATGGTACCACTGGATACTGAAAGTTCAAAGTTGTGTACATTCCAAACACCATTCGGAAGATACCGATTTTTAAGAATGCCATTTGGATTGAACTGTTCAGGAGAAATTTTCCACAGAATAATATCTCAATCATTTGAAAAGATTAAAGGTGTCGTTACCTTCCAAGACGATATTTTAATATACGCAGAAGATAGCGAAACATTGGAAAAGAGAACGATAAAAGTATTAGAGAAAGCGAGAGAGAAGAAAATTAAATTTAATAGACAAAAATGTAGCTTCAATATGAAGGAAGTGACGTTTTTGGGTCATAAATTTGGGGAATATGGCATGAAAATAGACGAAGAGAAAATGAAAGGAGTAGAACAATTGAAAACACCACACGATAAAAAATCCTTGCAACGCATATTGGGGTTTTTCAACTATGTGAGCAAATACATACCAAACTTTTGGAACTACACACAGAGTATGAGGGAACTGCTGAAAAAAGACGTAGAGTTTGTATGGAATCACCAACTTGAAAAGGATTTGCAAGATTTAAAGAAAGCAATAATTAGATCACCGGAGCTGAGATATTTTAATGAAAAAGAGGAAATAACACTTACAGTAGATGCCAGTTCAAAGGGATTAGGAGCAGCCTTAATGCAAAATCAAAGGCCAGTGGCGTTTGCTTCAAAAGCACTGACTACCACACAGCAGGGTTACGCGCAAATAGAGAAGGAATTATTGGCGGTAGTATTTGGATGCGGAAGCTTTAGACAGTATGTGTATGGAAAAAACATCGTAATAGAAACCGACCATAAACCGTTGATCCCAATTTCCAAAAAGCCATTAGATAAATTAACACCACGAATAAAATTAATGATGTTTAAATTGCAAGAATATACATATGAATTAGTTTACAAGCAAGGAAAGCATATGTATATAGCGGATACCCTGTCGAGAGATACGGAAAATCCAGTCGAGAAAGACAATAATACCAATGAGATGGAAATCCAGGTAGATTTTGTAACAAAAGCAATACCGATAGGAGATAATATATGGAGAATGATTAAGGACGAATCTGCTAAAGACGAATCATTGACTAAGTTGAGACAAATAATCAGAAAAGGATGGCCAAAGTATTACCGAGATGTTCCAGATGATGTTAAGAAGTACCATCATTTACGACATGAGCTGACGATAAGTGATAATATAATCTTGATAAACAATCGAATATTTATACCTGAAGTTCTAAAAAAGATTATGCTAGAAAAGCTACACACGGGTCACCCAGGCGTAGTAAGAAATAAAAGTAGAGCAGAAGGATCTATGTATTGGATTGGAATAAATCGGGATATAGAGAGATTCGTTAATGAATGTAAGGTATGTAATAAATTTCAAGCAAACAAACAGAAAAAACAACTGATTTTGAGAGAAATACCGGTTCTGCCATGGCAGGAAGTAGGCATGGACGTTTTTGAGTGTGATCAAACACAGTACATGGTCGTGGTAGACTATCTGTCAAATTTTATTGAAGTTGAAAGGTTAAAAGATCTAACCAGTAAAACAATAATAAAAAAGTCTAAGGCAGTCTTCGCAAGACATGGAATACCAACAAAAGTCTTTACTGATGGTGCCTTATACTACAACAGTAAAGAATTTAAAAATTTTGCCATGGAGTGGGACTTTACCCATACAATATCAAGTCCCCATTATGCACAGTCGAATGGAATGGCCGAGTCAGCCGTAAAACGAGTTAAGAACTTATTAAAAAAATGCAAGGAAGACAACTCAGACGTGTACTTAGCGTTACTGAACATGCGAAATACGAAACGAGGAAAAATAAGCTCTCCAGCTGAAATGTTATATAGTAGGAATTTAAGAACCAACATACCCACTACCGTAAAAACATTAAAGCCGAAAATAACCTTAAATTACGACCGAAAGGAAATTGTAAAAAGTAAAAAACTATATAAACAGAACTATGACAAAAACTCAAAAAAGACGGAGGACAGGTTCAACGAAGATGAAAGAATTTATTTTAAGAAACGTTTGGAAGGAAGCTGGAAGGAAGCAGGAAGGGAAAATAAGCAAAAATTTGACAGAACCGAGATCGTACATGGTTATTGATAATGAAGATAAGCAGTACCGAAGGAATGAGAAATTCAAAAGAAAAAACCAAACGTTTCCCATTGACGAAACTGATGAAAGGAAAAATCAGGAAAGAGACGAAAACATGAAGAATGAACACACCAAAAGAGATGAAAAGGCAGTACGGGACAGCACAAACACACCAAAACATGAGAAAGAAATACTGACCGACATGAACGCTTACAAAACGAGATCAGGCCGTATTGTAAAAAATAAATACCAATACAATAACTTAAGAAGTATTTAGATGTAAGCATTG